CGCAATAGCTGTTGTGCCAAGCTTAATGCACGGGGGGGCTCTTATTACTCAGTTACTTCTGATTATCAATATGCATACGTGTCTAATCTTGTTGAGATTAAACACTATTGTTTAAATTAGTAGCTTTTAATTATTAAAAATATCATTTGGCCAAAATTACAACTAACTGTAAATCGAATAAGTCGACTTAAAAATTAGATTGTTTTTAAATAAATTCCACATACACACACAAATAAACTTTGACATCACCTAATTTGTGTAAAGATTAGGCAAAAGTAAAACATTGCAACTTGATAAATATATTATTTATTATTACTTTACTATGGTTGATTGGAGATTAACCATAATTATTGACAATATTTCTTTCAATGCTGCTCTATTTATAATTCAAAACGTTTTATGAAAGACTATGCAAATGCGTTTTATTAACTTGGCCAAACACTTATATTCATTTTAGCCAATAAATCAATGCACATCAGAGGCTTTTTAGTTATTTTCTATCTTAATCTTCCTGACCTACCTGTATTTTGGATTGTTTGATATAATGAGAGTTATTTTTGATAAAAAAAAGAAATTAGAATGATTCATCTAATAAGACAATAATTTCAACAATAATTAGTGCGGTATTTGAGAATATCCTTTTCCCCTTAGTCTAACCTAACCAATTCTTGCTAAAAATAAACATAAATTTTATCAACTGCATTCTTTTTGTTTCTTTTTAATTAAATAGTAGGGTCTTTGAAATCTCAATAGAACACTTTGATTCCAAAAAAATACTATTTACAAAATTTGTATGTGCCTATATCACTAGAGAATAGTTGCTTGAATATGTTAACAATTAGAGTCAATATATTTAAGGACTAAGTAAACAGATATCCAGTATTTTCATTTTATGAGCAGATGAAAATATTTATAGGAACTGAATATATGTTTTTTTAAATCAAAGAAAGATTTTTACAAACAACTATATATGTTATTTAAAAGTTTCCATCTACTTTGCTATCTTAAATAAAAATATAATGACAATGAGATTTCTTGATTGATTACACTAAATAACTTATATGCTTATAATTTGATTGGTTTCTATGTCATATAAGATCGGAAACTGTGGAGTAAAATATTAGCTTGTAAAAGCAGTATGGAATTTAAAGAATGAATAAATCAAAAGATCCTAATAAACAAATATGAGGAGATTAAGAATTATTTGAACTTTAAGCTTTGAAACTTAAAAATTAGATAAAAAATTCTATTAGTTTTGTATCTGGAAGAAATTTAAACAAAAATTGAATAAATTGATTGGCTTAAATGGAAAATTGATAATAATCTGAATATGGAATGTTAAATAGGTCATATGTACATAAAATTCAAAAATTTCTACTTTCTTATTGAAAGATTTGTATAGAATAATAAATTCAAAAGGTTATATTTGAATGCTAATCATAAGCATAATTTCATTAATACTATAATTCATATATATCATATTTCTTCTTATTTTCTCCCCAATATATTAAATATTACCCATTATTTGTGACTGCTCCATATGTACTCCAGTCTTAGCAATATAATTCCTAAACAATAGAAATGTATCCATTATTGAGTTCTTTGAGTAACAAAATGTGCAATGAATGTCTTAAGCATATCAAATTTTTATTTTTCATAAAAATTATTGGGAAGAACGGTAAATTTACACATCCTTAATTATCTTTTTTGAATAAAACTCTCTTATCTACAATTTCTTCAAATTTACCATTATTATTTTAGTACACACACAACATATTGCTTTTAGAAGGTAACCAAATAAATTAATCTTCCTTTAAAAACCGAACATGATATCCATTTTCTTATGTTGACTAATTAACAATTTACTAAAATGACCACTAATTTTTTACACCCTTTTACCAAATAATTATTAAACTATCATACCCACATGAAACCAATACTTTCTCTGATTCATTTAAACTTAATGAGTTTACATCGCTAGTATGATAGGATAAAGAATAGAGAAATGTAAGTTCATAATTAATAAAATCTATACTCCATATTTTAATAGTAAAATCTGCACTACTTGAAATTAATTAATCTTCATTTTGGGTTATGATCATACAATAAATCCATTCGTTATGCTCATAATATGGTCTAGAGCTATACCATTAATTGTTATTCTCTGAATTCCATAATCTAATTGATCCATCACTTGATCCAGAAATAAAATAATTGCTTATTTAGCTATATACCAAACAAGTAATTTCCTTTTAATGCTCCAAAAGCGAGTTAACTTCTTAAATTTAACCATTCTCAAAATTCCAAATTATAATTTTATTTCCACAACCCGAAACCATAATCTTCCCTTGAGGATCAAATACAATTGCATAACATAGATCTTTTTATTCTAAAGTTGCACATAGTTTTGGACTTATTAATTATTTCTCTGAAAATTCAAACATATTTGATGTTTACTCATTTAGATTATCCAAGATGTTCTTTATTGGTTGATACTCTTGAAATAACTTGAAGGATGCCAATTTAGAACTAATTTTTGTAATCCAGCTATTATTGAGCAATCGAATGCGATTTTCACAAATAATCTAATTATCTTAAGTGGATTATTATTTTTTTATGAATAAATCTAACTCTTTAAAAAAGCTATACTCTGAGTATTTAGATCCTGATAATTTTAAGTTTAAAATCCAATCTTCAGCATTGTTAATTAATTAATCTAATTATTAAAGAACAATGGACTTTAAATTAATGATGTTAATTTAGAATGATTCAACTTATTTTATGTTTATTCGAATTATATTTTCTATGCTGTTCAAAATT